GACCAATAAATTATTACCAATAACCCTCATTTTTTTAAATAAAAAAAGATATTCCACAAACCATCACTTTTATTAGAAAAATAACATTTATTTCTATTTGTTTTAGCAAAACTCACTTTTTAGCAATTTGAACCAAAATATTTTTATTTTTTATTTTAATTAACAACTGAGATTAAAAAAAAAATTAACAAGATCCAACATGTTTGACAAGTACTAAAAAAGTCTAGATGAATAATAAAAAAAAATATTTGAGACCCACAAAAAAATATCATATGCAACTACAAAAAAAATTTAATTATTTTTCCAAACACAAAAATTTTAGCCTGCTAAAATAATCAAAAATTAAAATAGCCTAATAAAATAATAACTTCTCAAACACTCACATAGTATGGGGGGATTTGGAAAGTTGGTTAAAAGATGATTTTTTTGATTTTTTTTTGAACTTTTTTGTCTTTTTGTAAATAAAAAATATGAGAGGTGATGTGATCTAAATTGGAGAAAATTCTATTTCTACACATTTATTTATATCAGTGGATACACTTAATGAAATATTATTTTAATGACAATAATACCTTAAACTAAAATGACTATAATGGACATCCACTAGCACCCATGATATTATATGAAAATATTTTCTGTACACATCTTTTAAAAAGAAAAAAAATTCTCAATGTACACCTTTTGAGTAAAAAAAAAAACTAAACCCTAGTTTTTTCATTATTGTCACTTTGCTTGCTACACACTCTATACTGCTCTATTGCTTGTAAATCAATATTCTCATAACAATTCTCATATTGTTTTAATCTCAAAATTTATACTCTATTACTGATGAAAATGTTTGTTTTTTCATGCATAACTTTTTTTCTTTTTTTTTTTTTTTTTTTTTCGGTTTTCAAATTGTCTTCTTTTTTTCTTTTCCTGTCGAGATTTTTAGTCAGACAACCAGTGTCGAATTATTTTATTATATTCGGACATCAACTACTGAAAGTTTTTTTTTTTTTTTGGAACAAATTTGTTGAACTAATCACTTTTATTCGGAAGTTAAGTTTCGAATTAAATGTATAATTTCAGAAAACCAATGCCAAATCTCCAAACTGAAAAACATAAAAAAAAAATTTAAAAACAAAATACAAGAGTTTGATGACAATGGAGTGCACAGAGATCTAAAAATAATAAATGCAATAACAAAATGAAAAGATGCCTCATCTGCAACAATATTTTGGAGAGTTTTCAATGGTGTTTTTAATGGAGGTTCAATAGAATTTTCAATGGAGGACTTTGTCTTCGCTCTATATCACTTCACATTGTGGTCTTGAATAATCTTCACGTGGGTCTACAATAAATCTACAAATTTGGAAGCATGGTCACTCAACAAGTGTGTGGAAAGAAAAGTTGGGGGATGTGTGCGCAATGAGTATGAGTGAAGGGTATAATTGTAACTTTTAGTGTGTGGATTGAGAAAATTAATTAATAATTAAATTAATAAGTGTGTGTAATGAGAGAAGATGTGCACTGAGAGAAGATGTGCCAGATCTAGAGAACAACTCTCCAATTTGTGAGATCTCACTGCTCGTCTCGCCGATCTATGGCTACTCGGGTTTAAATCCTAGAGTTAGGAAAGAAGAAGAGAGAGAGAGAGAGAGAGAGAGAGAGAGAGAGAGAGAGAGAGATAGGCTGAACCACCGCGCACACACAAACAGATGATTGTGCGTTGATGATCGCCTCTAAGGAAGATAGATCGTAGATCACCATGACTTTAGATATGGGAGAACAATTTCACAAATCTCTCAGTGAAAGCTTTGATCTACACACACACACACACACACACACACACACTTTCTCTCTCTCTCTCACTTTCTCCCTTACACACGCGCGCGGGCACACACACATAGTCTCAGAGTCTCTTAGATATGTGATTTTTTGGTTTTTGATTAAAAAATGCAACAGATAAACTTGATAGAGATGAAATAATAAGCTTGTTAGAGATGATTTAAGGGGGTTGTTGTTGTTGTTGTTGTTGTTGTTGTTGTTGTGGTGTGTATATATGAGACAGATCTAGAAAAAAATTGATGTTGATTATAATGATTGTAATAGATAAATAAAAAAATTAACACAGATTTTCAACATAAAGAAGAAAACTTGAACAGATAGATAGAATTTATGAAAAAAATTGGACAGATAGATAGAATTTAAGGAAAAAATTGAACAAATAGTTGAAAATTTTGAATAAATAGATATAAAATTGAACAAATAGATATAATTTAGGAGAAAATGTGAACATATAAAGAAAATATTGAATAGGTAATCATAAAATTTGAACAAATAGATGAAAATTTGAACAGATAGATATAAATTTAAACATATAGTCAACAAAAATTCAAAAAAAAAAAAAAAGTCGAGAGGTAAAATTAAAAACAAAATGTCTTGCAGGACTTTTCACCAAACTATTTCGCAAAATATGAATTTCTCACCAATAAAAAATATTCACTAGCCTTAATGCCTTACACTATCTTTATATTGGATGTATCACAAATTTTTTTTATTATTTATTTATTTCAGTTTGTTTAATTGACAACTGAGATTAAAAAAAAGATTAACAGGATTCACCATGTTTCGCAAGTGCTAAAAAAGTCTAGATGAACAATAAAAAAAATGTTTGAGACCCACAAAAAAATACCCACAATTGTATCCACAACACAATGATGTGGTATCATATGTGTCAACTCTTGATTTGCTATACACAATGCCATAGGACCTAACTCTCTTGTCACATTATTGTGGGTGAAAGTGTGAATCTGTAGTATTGCTGAAATAATAAATTATCACATATAACTCCCATTTTCTTTTTTTGTTATATATATATAAAAAATAAGTTTCACCAATTATCACTTTTAATAGAAAAAAAATATTTATTTCTATTTGATTTTAGCAAAAGTCACTTCTTAACTATTTAAGTTTAAAAAAAAAAATTAATTTTTTTATTTTAATTTGTTTAATTGACAATTGAGATTAAAAAAAAATAAAAAATAGAATCCATTATGTTTGGCATTGTTAAAAATGTCATTAATTTTCTTAATATTTTTGTATTTAAAAAAAATTGTATTAAAAAATTTTATTGTTTAAGTCCTTGTAATTTAGAAGGACATAATTTTTTTTTTTTATAAAATTTAAAACCAAAAATGACAAAAAATAAATTTATAAACTTTTAATAGTGATTAATAATTTGGATGTGTATTTAATAACATATTATGTTTAGACTAATTATATTATAACACGTCATTGTGATACATGTGAATATTAATATCATTCTAATTGTAGTAACATAATTTAAAAGAGAATTTAAATTTAAAATTTCATTTTATAATTTAATAAAAGATGCATAAATTAAGGAATGAATATTGATCTTATTCTGGTAACATAATTTAAAGAAGAATCTAAATTTAAAATTTTATTTTAAGAATATAAAATTAATTTATAAATCAATCATATTGTGACACATATTAACAAAAATTTAACAAAATAAAAAAAGAATTGCAACTTTAAGCTTCAAGACAACATTTTTCAATTATAATAATATATAAATTTTGTATGAGGTTTTGAAAGACTCATAATATCTCTTCTTAAAAGTCTTCTTTTGTAAAATATATAATAATCTCAACATCACTCTTATTGCTCCTAAATACAAAAATTATGAGCTAATTATGATAATTTAAAATTTATATTGTGCCAATTTTAAATTTAAATTAATACATTGCTTTCTATATTTAGTGACGCTCAAATTTAAATTTTGAAATGAATTAGTATACTTTTTTTTTTTTTTAGATTTGGTATACTTTCAATTTGAAAGTCATAAATCAAGGGATATTAATTTTTATTTATTTATTTATTTGTACTTGAATAAGAGCTAGCTAATAGAATTTTTTTTAAAATTTTTAAAAATTATAAAATTTAGATTGGAAACTTAGAACTCCCACAAGACGTATGGCTTAGAAACCTATTTTTTCTTATATAATTTATAGATAGATATGAATCAAATAAAAATAAAAATAAAAGTTTGAGATATTCTGGTCTAAAGCCTTCAACTTAAATAGATGCTTCCTCTCACTCAAATCAAATCTTGAATACTTCCTTCCTTGAGAATGCACTCAAATCTTGTTTAGAAAATAGTCATCATCAAATCTTGTTTAGGTGCTTCTTCTCACTCAAGTGAATATTGAATACTTCCTTCCTTGAGAATGCACTCAAAATGAATGCTATTTGGGGTTTAGGTCTTTCCTAGTTAGATTAGATTGAAGTTTTCGATTTTATTTTAATGCATAATGTTACAATACATTATTAAAATTTAAAATTAATAGTTTATAACTGTTATGTCAATTTAAAATCCTTTTAACTGTTTTTAAATTTTACATAAAAATATATCAATATACTAACTCTTTCAGAATTATTAATTATGAAATGGACATTTTTATTTTCACGACAAGTTTCTCTTTTATTTTGTAATATATTTTCTTATGTTATGATTGTCAATTATTTTTTTATATTCTTTTCATCGATCAGCTAACTCTTCTTAGGACACATTTACGAACAATTGAAAATTAATTGTCCCTATTTATCTTTTCTTTTTTATTTTTTTTCTCAGATCATCTTTCTATCATTTAATATTTTCTCATGTTTCAAACTCACTCTCTCCCATATGATTATGCCAGAGAAACACATCATATTAAGATAAAGAAATAATTTGAGATAGAAACAAGAGAAGGGGACAGAGAATCCATAGACCTTATAAAGAAAAGTTAAACTGGGCCATCAAAACTATTTGCAAAATTTTGAATATCTAATGGTAAAGGACAGTTTTCAAATGATACATTAATTTAATCTTTACTTATTACTTCTTTCTTCTGTCTCTGTTTCTGTTTATTTTTTTGCATACTTACAAAAACATTTTTAAAACACCATCCAAGGATGTTAGTGCAACATGATGTACAATGGCAAAGACAATGTTTCCAAAAATAATTATTACTCCAAATTATTTTATTCCATTTTTTCCTGTAATAGCAAGACAACCACAATCACCAAAATCCTCCTCTGGAAAGGGGATTATTACATTTCAGAAAAATATAAAAACAGTAAAATCCACAACCAAACACTACCTGAAAAATTCAATCAAAGGATCAACAACTCTTCTAGGTGGCCTTGGCAGGTTCAGTGGTGAGTCCAAATCCAAATGGGAACAGAGGATCATAATGTGAATCTCCAACATTCATTGGCAATTGATCAACAGTCTTGAACCATGTACGTGCAAGCTTGCCAGTGAAACCATAGTCACCAAACAAAACATCAGTAACACCTTGTCCCTCAGTTCCCGGCAGCCAAGCTGCCACGAGGGCATCCATGGCAGCAACGTATGGTTGAATCATCACTGGACGGCCACTAATGAGGACAACAACACATTTCACTGCTCCGCACACGTTTGTGATCGTGCTTGGACCAGGGTCCATGATTGTCAAGTTTAAGCTGTCCCCGAATGTCTCTGCGTATGATGGCTCACCTACTACAACAATGGCGTAGGAGAATTCACCGGACTTGACAAAGTCAATGCTGGGATTCTCTTCAAAAACAACTTTAGTTTTTGGATCGACGGTTTTTTTTATGGAAGATAAGATTGTGGTACCTGCACAAACACACACGGACGGATCCAAAATTTTAATCTAGGGGGGCAAACACATACTTAAAAAAAAATTGATAAAAAAAAGAAATATGGACAATAACATAATGTTCTATCGGCATAGAAAGTGAAATATATATATATATATTTTAAAATAATCATGTTTTTTTGTATCCATATTGTTATAAAAAATAGCAACCGTATGTCAATTTATCTACTAAAGTGAGGCATGTTGCACAATACAAGATGAATGAACAGGGTCAAGTAATATGCTAGAATTTCATCCTCCATCCTATTGCAGAGTTTAGCTTTCACAATTTTCATGACCAAAAATGCACAATCCATTGTAACTGTTGAATTGAAACTGATAAGTCAGTAAAGACGAATCAAACTATGGATGAAATTGATAAATTGTTGACTATCCTATATTGTCCAAGTTCTTTGATTCACACTTTGACCCACGCATTTTATAGATTTAGAAGAGGCGACCACATATTTATTTAAAAAAAAAAAAAAAACAAAAAAAAACTAGGGGTGTATAGGGGTTTTTGAAATTTAATAGCTAATACTAGTATAGTATAGGGGTTTTTGAAATCATAAGGGGACAATTGTCCCTATTTGCCACCCCCATCATCCTTTCCTGCACATGAAAATGAGGCATTTGTCATATGTATAAAATGAGACTACAAGACCCTATGGGATGGTGCTATTGCCAGAGGAAGACTTGTATTTCAAAGAAATCTATGTATGTCCATGAAATGTATATAACCAACAATATGCATGTACATTGTATATATACTTGTCAATGGGCAAGAACGGGTGATTGATAAAGTACCGCTTGTGTGGTTGTTTCCGCTAAGTCCCTGCCATGTAATTGTCCACCCACCGCACTGGTAACCAAGATTGTCAGCGTGGCTTCCTGCAACAAGTATTTTCGATGCCTTCTTAGAAAGGGGCAACAATGGCTTGTCAGCTGATTCACCATTCTTCAACAGCACAAGAGTTTTTCTCACTGCTTCCCTTGCCAATTGTCTATGTTCCTGTTCAAATTACAATGTTGGAAAATCAGATTTCAGTTTTATTGTTGTTGTAGTTTTTCCAAAAAACACTCCCAATAAAGGAACAGACTGACTGACCTGACTACCTAGCTGGTCAACAAAGCTTTCATCAGCATATGGGCTTTCAAATAGGCCCATTGTGAACTTCACTCGCAAGATCCTCCTAACTGCATCATCGATTCGGCTCATGGGAATGAAGTTGTTCTTTACCAAGAAAGTCAGATCATCAATGAATTCAGTTAGGTTATAAGGAAGCATGATCTGCAACACGCAACACGTGCAAAACAGAAGTACTTCATTACAACTTGACTAAAACAGGACCGTTAATTTTCACATTTTTGAATACTAAGCACAAAAACAAATAAAATTGATTTGGACCATATCAATGCCGGCATTGATTCCTGTTAGGATGGAATACGTATAGTTAGCACGAGGTGGACTAGTGATTCGGTCGATACCCTGCCAATCCGAGATCACAAAACCCTGAAATATAATCCATCGATTCATACTCAATGTCAGTTACTTTTTCTCAATATGTGACGAACGGGAAAAAATTGCAATTTTTATTTGCAAATAAATGATATATATACCCTGAAACGCATAGTGTTTTTAAGGTAATCGGTGATGAGTTCACGGTTAGCGTGCATTTTTATCCCATTCCAGCTTGAGTAAGAGATCATCACGGTTGATACACCCTTGATAACCGCATTGTAGTAGGCCGGCATGTGGATGCTTAGCAATCCATGCCTGCTTATTACAGTGTTGTTTTCGTTGATGCCTTCAGTTGTTCCACCATCACCCAAATAATGCTTAGCACATGCCGCGATCTTTGTTCTACGTTGACAATGCCAAAATCAAAAAAATTAACAACAGATTCACAATCTAGAGTACCTTTTAACAGATTGGACAATCAGACCTATGCTCGAATTAATATTCAACAATAAAATATTTGATGACCCATTAGGCTCTTCCATTTTGAATATTTTTTAGTAAAAAAACATCAAGTCATCATTTGAAACTCGAAATGTGGTTAAGGCATCTTGCTTTTGTTTTTTTCTTTTTTAGTCTTCTGTTTTTGGTTGTTTTATGTGTTTTTTCTTCATTTGAATCACTTATATAGGTTGTCCACATCAATAATTCCACAAGCAAAATAAGGTTCAAACAAGTTGCTTTCACTGTACTACAATTTCAAACTTATCTATCATCTTGGGTGACCATTTATTCCCGTAAGAATAAATATATAAATAAATTAAGAAAACACTTCTATAAATCTCTCTATTCATCTTTAGAAAATAAGACCTAGAATTTAGACCACCAGAACTGTCACGACACTGGTAGCCAATGTTGACTGTAATTCCTGATGAGCTCAAATCTTGGGTGGACATTATGATTGATGATAAACATGGACACATCACACAAATGATATGTAACACGGGATCATATATGATATTTCCATGAAATTGTCACATTTGTCATGTAGGCTAAACCTATACATTCTTTCTAATTTCACTAACACAAATATTAATCCCAAATGCAAATTTGAAAGTATTTAACTCTTACTTGCCACCAAAAAAGGGCACACCCTTTCTAGAGTTAGCAGGGATTTCTCCTTGTAAACCCGAAATGATCTCAGTCATTGTTTGAACAATTTTGTGATCTTCGCTGTAGCTTTCATAGCACCGACCCCATCTGGGATCTCTACAAACCTGTCAAACGCGACATTAGTTTAAAAAAAAAAATCTAAATTCAACAGCATGTAGTTTTTTGAATTTAGATTTACTTACCGCAATACACGGTGCAAAAGCATACTGAATGCCTGTAGCTCTAACTTCAAGAGCAGTTGCAGCTCCGATTTTCTTGATTAGTCCAGGATCCCTGGCAGATACAAAAAAGCCGAAACAAGGGTATTAGACAAAGTCACCAATCCAATTTCAGAATCAAAACAATACTTATCATATCTATCATGTATGTGAACATTTTAGCATATATGTTATGTGCTTGCCTTGTAACTCCAAGCCCAACATTGTGTGGAAAGATTGTTGATTTGTAGACATTGTTGTGGCCATGGACAGCATCAATACCATAAATCATTGGGATCCCAAGACGGGTCGACATCGAACCTTTCTGGAAATCATTCACCATTTTGATCCAAGTCTGGGGAGAGGCATTTGTTGATGGAACACTCCCTCCACCACTCAATACACTCCCTGCTCGAAATCCATACATTAACACAGTATACACAACATAACCACATTTATTATCCCAAAATTTTAACATCAATGAATGCATAGAAAAGAGAAAAAGAAGAAGAAGATTGTAATATGATTTTTTACCAACAAAATACTTCTTCATCACTTTGGTCGAAGCAATAGACCTCTCAATCTGAGACATTTGGCCAATTTTCTCCTCCAAAGTCATCCTACTCATCAAGTCCTTAATTCGTACATTTATCGGTTGTTTTGGATCTTTGTATTTCAAATGTTCTGCTTCTGCCAAGGCTGCCAAGCAACATAAAGCCAAAATCCCCAAAAAGGGGATTGCAGTTTTCGCCATTTCCATTCCCGAATTGCCTTCAAGTCACCAAAAAAAAAAAAAAAAAAAAACACTCACTTTCAGATATATATATATATATATATAATTTGGAGCCATTGAAGACCTAAATTATGTTAAATTCCACAAAAGAAAAATAAAATAAAATAAAATAAAATTTGGCAAATGCTACAGCTAACTAATAATGAATGAATTGCTTTAAGGCAAATGGGTAATAATTGAAAATTACAAATTTGAAAATGAACAACAATAAAGAAGATAAAGATCTGAAAACCCATTATTTAACAATGAACTCAAAGGAGCATCGTTGAAGGAAATATGCTATCTGTATCATAGAATCAACGCAGAGACAGGAAAAAGCAAGTGTTGATTAGATGCTCTTATTATTACCAGATTGAAGTGTATAAGAACCATTTGACAACTGGACTATATATTAGCCATCAAGTGACCCAAAAAACAAACATGAGTGTTAAGCCACAGAATCACATTATTAAGCCAGAAACAAAAATTAAAGAATCACCAGAAGTGAGAAGGCTTGTTGCCTCTGTAGTTCTACACACACATATACAAGAGAGAGAGAGAGAGAGACCCAGTACTTCCTGGGATGGGATTTTTTTGGAAGAGAAGGTTAGGACAGCATTGTATTTTATAGAAGGTCGTAGGTGGTATTTTAATTCAATGAAAAAAAAAAAAAAAAAAAAAAAAAAAAAAAAAAAAAAACAGTGTGCTGGATAATGGATAATGGAAAAGGAAAAGTTGGGATCTCACGGTCAAGGTTTCAAAATTTACTCGAAATGGACATGTGATAGAAATTAAATTGGTAAAGTATAAAGGTAAAATAAATTTAAATTATTGATTGTTACTTTTGAATAAATTTTGAGTAGATAATTTTAGATGTGTAATATTGCTGGATGGATAATTTTTACTGTACAAATCCTATGCATTTAATTTTTTTGGATAAATTATAAGTATGGATTGTTTCTTGTTGTTTAAAAATTATAAATATTTTCATGTCAGAATTTTTTTTAAGAGAATTAATTAAAAAAATTAAATTTTTAACTGCTTTTCTATATAATAAGAAAATTAATTGACTTATTAATTAAAATAAATTTCTGATATCATTAAAAATTATTAATTAATTTTGTGATTTATTAATAAAAAGTCTATTTGTTATGAAATTAAAAATTTCAAAGGACGGGATTTAATTTTCAGAACCATAAGAAATAATTATATTTTAAGTAAACCTTAAAGTGTGTATTTATAATTACTCTATTTTTTTTATATTGTGTTTGAATTTTAAATTTATAAAAAAAAATTATGAAATTTTTTATCTTTGGATAAAAAAAACTAATTTTTTTATTGAGTTAATCACTTAAAAGTCTTATTTACAAATGTTATGGTAACTCAGGTTCTATCTAATTTTTTTTGAACTAGTAAATCCTATTTAATAAAACTGAGAATATTATAAGTTTTTCTTAATTTTTAAAACTAAGAGCATTATCAATTTTAAAAAGTAATATTTCAGATAATTGTTTAACTAATTAAGGAAAAAACAAGAGTATGAGATTAAACATTTTTTTCTCTTTTACTTATTAGTTTGATTCAACTATCTAATAAAATAAAAAATATTATCATTTTTTTTCTAGTTTTAAAACTGAGAATATTATCAAAATTTTCATTTTTAAATTTTAAATTTTAAATTTTTTATTTTTTATTTTCAGTTTTGCGCATCAATGTTTCATCATCATGACACAAATTTTTCAGTTTTGCACAAAAAAAAAAAAAATCTGTTTTTCCAATTTTATCTTTGGATAAAAAAAACTATTTTTTTTATTGAGTTAATCATCTAAAAGTCTTATTTACAAATGTTATGGTAACTCAGGTTCTATCTAAATTTTTTTGAACTAATAAATCCTATTTAATAAAATTGAGAATATTATAAGTTTTTCTTAATTTTTAAAACTAAGAGCATTATCAATTTTAAAAAGTAATATTCCAGATAATTGTTTAACTAATTGAGGAAAAAACAAGAGTATGAGATTAAACATTTTTTTCTCTTTTACTTATTAGTTTGATTCAACTATCTAATAAAATAAAAAATATTATCATTTTTTTTCTAGTTTTAAAACTGAGAATATTATCAAAATTTTCATTTTTAAATTTTAAATTTTAAATTTTTTATTTTTTATTTTCAGTTTTGCGCATCAATGTTTCATCATCATGACACAAATTTTTCAGTTTTGCACAAAAAAAAAAAAAATCTGTTTTTCCAATTTTTTTTGCACATAATTTTTTTTAATTATTTTTTCAATTTGGAAATTGATGTTTTAAAGTTTTGAAAATCAAAATAAATGTCAAATCATCATGTTCTTTTTAGATAATCATAAATGATGAACAATTATTATTTGAAGAGCAATTCCGATTATTAAACATTTAATGAGACTTGAAGGTCGAAAAATCTTAATTAAAACTTAGACCTCATTTGGGAACATGCTTTTTTAGTAACTTTTTGGTTTTTTCGCTAAACTATGATGTAAAAAAAATTAGTATATTTGAGATATTTTTTTAATTTTTTATGAAAAGATATGCAAAAAGTAGAGAGAAAATGAAATCTTTAACTTTTTTATATATGTTGTTAATTTTTTAATTTTTTAAATAACTTTTTAACTTTTTAATTAAAAAAATTATTTGTCAAATGAGGCTTTGATAAAGTATAAATTTATAAATTGACTTATATACAAATATCTCATTTTTATTTTATTTATTTTTTACTTTATAAATTTCATCATAAATATAAAATCTAAACACGATCCCAATAAATATTCATTCTAATTGGGCACAAACCCCACTCAACTCTCAACCATACGTCAACTCTTATGCCTCATTTGGAAAGTTGATTACTTTAAGTTTTGTTTGGTATTAGTTAATTAGTTAATTTTTTTTGTATTAGAACTTTTTTAACTTGGCTTTTTTTGTTTCATTTGGTTTGAATTTTTTTTACTTTTTTAACTTTTATGAGAAAAAAAGTATAATGATTATGAAATAGATGTGATATTTTGTCTTATTAGTCTATTTTGTCATTTTATGTTTTTTTAGTCCTAAAATAATAGTCAAACTAGGGCTTACTATATTATTTTAATTTTTGACTATTTTAGTAGGTTAAAATATTTATATTTAAAAAAATATTTAAATTTCTTTATAGTTAAATGTGATATTTATGAGAGAAAAAGTAAAATAATTATAAATTTGATGTGACATTTGGTCTTATTGATTATTTTAGTCTTTTTATTTATTTTTTTTGGTTGTAAATTTTAGCTAAACAAAGCCCAAAAAAATAAAAAATAAAATTGATGAGTTGTTGAACACACCAAAATTAAATCACTAAACTATATCAAATTCTTTTAGAATAATAGCAAGTCTAGGTATTGATCCACAGGGACAAATGTGAAACTAGATTAATTCAATTGCTAAATTCCTAAATTAATTTTGATTAAAAAGATAAGATTGATTTTATAACTAAATAACAATTAAATGAAATTGAAGAATTATATTGAAAATTAAAATTAGGGTTTGAGATATTAATTTTCGGGAAAAGTCCTAGGGCAGATAATTCACCACTGACCACATGAATGAGACTTAACATCGGCCATCAATCGTAATCCGGTTTGAACTACGGAATATTTCACAACTATAAGTTTGAAATATTGATCAAGAGAGTTGTCGCATTCAACGTACAAGCACGAATCATCTTGAGTAGTACAAGACGTTTGCTCTAAACTATGGTAGTAAAATGACCCATCTCTTATAGCATGACTCATCTCGTACTTTGAATACAAACACAAAGAAAGCTAATGTATGGAAAGCATTAAACAATCACAAAGAGTAAAATGCTTGAAGAGATGAAAGAAACAATTATTAAAAACTTATAAATCATCCATACATCCATTCAAACCAATTCACAATTAAAGCTTATGAAAAATCCTATTACATGGCTAGGGTTTCATCAAAACCCTAGGAAAAGACGACTAGCCACTCATGGATGAGTGGGAAGAGGAAGAAGATGAGAAAGAAACTCCCATGGAAGTGTGTGTCAAGCTTTAGGAGAAAGCCACCTCTTTAGAACCCTAGCCTCCATTTTCTCTGAATTAATTTTTGAACCCTAGGTTTAGCTATTTTTCTTTCTTTTATTCTCAGTAAAGCAGACCAAAAATTCCGTGCACACGTCCCTAGGTGGGTTGCTCGAGCGCTCATGTGGGCCACACGAGCGATGATGGGCTGCACGTGCAGTGGTCTGGCTGGCTCGGATTCTTCACTTATCACACGGAAGATCTGCTTTTGCACCCTTTTTGATTGAATTTTCATATTTCTTGCCAAATCTATACAAGTACACGAAATATATCATCTCCATCAAATAAACAAAATTAAAAAACTAAAAATATGACTTAAGTGACCTTAATATAACACCTTTTGGCCTACATCAAAACCTCTTGCTAAACTGGCCTTACTATTGGAGCCTTTACTTTGGCTAACCTTTGTACAAGAATTATTATTGAGAGGGTAATTTTTGGGAAAAATTGGGCCGAGCTGCGAGTTGGGCTTCGTGGCCCAAAGTGCGAAGGACTAAGTAAAAAGGCCGTAATGGTTACTCCGGCCCAGGTGAGGCAAGGTTACTCCGGCCTAGGAGAAACAAAGTTACTCCGGCCCAGGGAGGTAAAATTACTTCGGCTCAGGAATTATAAGGATACTTCGGTCTGAGAACGATTTAGAGTTATGCCGATCTTGGAGTTATACCGGCCGAGAGTCATTGGTTCGGTCTAAGACCATACCATTGGTTGAACATGGGAAAACCGAGATAAGGATAGAGTTAAAGGTGGAACCGAACTAAGAATAGTTCGGTTTACTCAGTGGCTCTGCATAGCCAAGCTTATTTCGGTCATATAGTAGTTCGGCCAAAGTAAAAACCATCCCACTTGGTTTAAGCAGTGGGGGAGGGTGTAAAAGGATAAGCATTATCCTTAGGAGTATGAATCCTAGGAGGACTCTGTATGGAGGAATAAAAGTCCTACTAGGATTGTGCCACAGGAAACTTATAAAAGCCCACAAACATCACCTTGGAGGAGGTGATTGAACACAACACAATTTTGCTTTCCGAGAACATAGAGCTTTGTCTATTTGTCAAGTTTTCTGACTTAGGCATCGGAGAGGTTTCCGGCACACACCCGCCGGCCAGCTCACGTTTGTGTTTTCAGGTGACAAAGCGACGTCGTACGGAGGAGCGTGGACTTAGTCAACAGGATTATACGAGGAGAATTATTTCCTCCCCGTACAATTATATATATATATATATATATATTTGGCATTTACAATTGAGACTTTTAATAAAAAAAGATTTTATTTTATTTTGTTTTAAATTTTTATGAGCCTTTAGACAAAGAGGTTTATTACGAATTTTTGAAAAGAAATGTGTCCTCAATATATAGAAATTATATTTATAGATCACTAATTCTCTCAATACACACTATTAACAGATTAAATTTATATTACAATAATATTCTCAAATGAAAAGACTATGGAAGTATATTCTATCCTTTTAAATAATTCATATATAAAAAAAACATAAAACACTCTTCACACACCATCACCTGTAGACATACAAACTCTATTTTTTTTTTAATA